GACGGAAATATATATGGGAGCTATAGCTGAATCTGAATCGAATTTCACGAAACTTAGCACACATCATTCTAGACTCAATTCAGTACGCTGTGCCAATCGTGTGCAAATCGAAAGCTATTTAGAGACTTTGGTGCACCATTTACCTTAAATCGGACGAAAATATATATGGGAGCTATATCTGAATCGATTTTAAGGAAATTTTACACATATTGTTTTAGACTTAATTCGGGGCGCTATGCCAAATTTCATGCACATCGAAGGATATATAGGGACTTTGGTTCTCCATTTACCTTAAATCGAACGAAAATATATATGGGAGCTATATCTGAATCTGAACCGATTTTCACGCAATTTAACACACATCGTTTTAGATTTAATTCAGTACACTGTGCAAAATTTCATGCAAATCGAGAGATATATAGGGACTTTGGTTCACCATTTACCTTAAATCGGACGAAAATATATATGGGAGCTATATGTAAATCTGAAGCGATTTTCACGAAATTTAACACATATCGTTCTAGAGTTAATTCAGTACGCTGTGCCAAATTTCATGCAAATCGAAGGATATATTGGGTCTTTGGTGCACTATTTACTTCAAATCGAACGAAAATATATATGGGAGCTATATCTGAATCTGAATCGATTTTCACGAAATTTAATACACACCATTCTAGACCTAACCCATTACGCTGTGCCAAATTTCATGCAAATCGAAGGATATATAGGGACTTTGGTCCACCATTTACCTTAAATCGGACGGAAATATATATGGGAGCTATATCTAAATCTGAAGCGATTTTCACGAAATTTAACACATATCGTTTTAGACTTAATTCAGGACGCTGTGCCAAATTTCGTGAAAGTATATATGGGAGCTATATCTAAATCTGAACCGATTTTTCCCAATTTCAATAGGGTTTGTCCTTGGGTCAAATAAGTGACCTATGCCAAATTTCATCCAATTCGAATCAAAAATGCGACCTGTACTTTGTATACAATTTACAGACGGACAGAAGAACGGTCATGCATAAATCGACTCAGAAAGTGATTCTATGCATATTCTCAAAAGGATCCATGTGTCTATCTCGTTTCCTTTTGCCTGTTACAAACATATGCACAAAGACATAATACCCTGTACCACAGTATGGTGACGGATTATTTAAAAAAACCTTGGAAAAAATTATTTCAAAAAATCCACGCCTTATGTGGAACTTGGAAAAAAATTATTTAAAAAATCCACGCCTTATGTGGACCTTGGAAAAAATTATTTAAAAAATCCACGCCTTATGTGGACCTTGGAAAAAATTATTTAAAAAATCCACGCCTTATGTGGACCTTGGAAAAAATTATTTAAAAAATCCACGCCTTATGTGGACCTTGGAAAAAATTATTTAAAAAATCCACGCCTTATGTGGACCTTGGAAAAAATTATTTAAAAAATCCACGCCTTATGTGGACCTTGGGAAAAAATATTTAAAAAATCCACGCCTTATGTGGACCTTGGAAAAAATTATTTAAAAAATCCACGCCTCATGTGGACCTTGGAAAAAATTATTTGAAAAATCCACGCCTTATGTGGACCTTGGAAAAAATTATTTAAAAAATCCACGCCTTATGTGGACCTTGGAAAAAATTATTTAAAAAATCCACGCCTTATGTGGACCTTGGAAAAAATTATTTAAAAAATCCACGCCTTATGTGGACCTTGGAAAAAATTATTTAAAAAATCCACGCCTTATGTGGACCTTGGAAAAAATGATTTAAAAAATCCACGCCTTATGTGGACCTTGGAAAAAATTATTTCAAAAAATCCACGCCTTATGTGGACCTTGGAAAAAATTATTTAAAAAATCCACGCCTTATGTGGACCTTGGAAAAAATTATTTCAAAAAATCCACGCCTTATGTGGACCTTGGAAAAAATTATTTCAAAAAAATCCACACCTTGTAGAGATATTCAAAAACTCCAATGTTTTTATTCACGCCTTAATGTAGACCCTCAAAACATTAAAATACCCATACAAATATCGCCTAGAACGGATTATTATTTTGTCATTGAATGATTAGATGACAAGACACGTTCGTTTCTTAAGTCTTTTGTTGTGTGTGTGTGTTTTTTTTTCTTGGGGTACGACAGAAACACACCTACCTAACACCATGATAAAGCAACTGTTTAACGGAGACACTTTAAAAATATAATTTAGAAATAGATAATTGCAGAACAGAGCAGAAACATGATCCCCTCACCTCATGCTACACCTCTCTCCCCCTTCCTCCTTGTCATTATGGTCATTGGCACTTCCCACAAGCAGAAAAAAATAAAAACCCGACACGTCTCATTTTTTTATTATTATTAATGTACGTTAAATAAAGCAAATATTTAACAAGTAATCATTCTTGGCAATCATAATTTTTTTGTGTTGTTGTTGTTCAAATAGAAATGAATACAACAACAAACACCCTCACCACAAAAAAATTGCCAGCAACAACAACAACAGCCATGGCTATGATTTATTTAATTGCTGTTATTTATTTAAAGATTGATGTTGATTATTTGTTGTTGTTGTTTTTGTGTGTGTGTCTTATTATTACAGTGGAGGAGGGAAGGTAGGGGAGTGGATCATTGGATTGATGTCTAGAAGAAACCTGAATTAGTGGAACAACCACAAAAACACAACAACAACAAACACCAACACCACACGAAACACGCAATAGTTACATTTTGTTCTGCTTCTTCTCCTTAATTTCATATCAATTTCTTATTAGCGCATAGAATGTAAATGGAGCCACCTCCGAGCTTAAGCTTCCGCATTGAAACACGGTCATGATCGATGACCACCATATGGAGGTGTGGAAGGGGTAGTGTTTATATACCCTTCACCACACTGTGGTACATATGTCTTTGTGCATATGTTTGTAACAGGCAAAAGGAATCGAGATAGACCCATTGTTCCTTTTGAGAATATGCATAGAATCACTTTGTGAGTCGATTTATGCATGTCCGTCCGTCCATATATTTTTGTGAACAAAGTACAGGTCGCAATTATGATCCGAATTGGATGAAAATTGGCATAGGTCACTTATTTGGTCCAAGGACGAACTCTATTGAAATTGGGAAAAATCGGTTCAGATTTAGATATAGCTCCCCTATATATTTTCGTCCGATTTTCAGTAAATGGTGCACCAAAGTCCCTATATATCTTTCGATTTGCACGAAATTTGGCACAGCGTAATGAACTAGGTCCAGAATGATGTGTGTTAAGCTTCGTGAAAATCGGTTCAGATTCAGATATAGCTCCCATATATACTTTCGTCCGATTTAATGTAAATGGTCCACCAAAGTCCCTATATATCCTTCGATTTGCACGAAATTTGGCACAGCGTAATGAATTAGGTCGAGAATGATGTGTGTTAAGATTTCTGAAAATCGGTTCAGATTTAAATATAGCTCCCATATATATTTTCGTCCGATTTAAGGTAAATGGTGTACCAAAGTCCCTATATATCTTTCGATTTGCACGAAATTTGGCATAGCGTAGTGAATTAAGTATAGAACGATGTGTGTTAAATTTCTTGAAAATCCGTTCAGATTTAGATATAGCTCCCATATATACTTTCGTCCGATTTAAGGTAAATGATGTACAAAATTCCCTTAATATCTTTCGATATGTACGAAATTTGGTACAGTGTAATGAATTAGGTCTAGAATGATGTGTGTTAAGTTTCCTGAAAATCGGTTCAGATTTAGATATAGCTCCCATATATATTTTCGTCCGATTTAATGTAAATGGTCCACCAAAGTCCCTATATATCATTCGATTTCCACGAAATTTGGCATAGCGTAATGAATTAGACCTAGAATGATGTGTGTTAAGTTTTCTGAAAATCGGTTCAGATTTAGATATAGCTCCCATATATATTTTCGTCCGATTTAAGGTAAATGGTGTACCAAAGTCCCTATATATCTTTCGATTTGCACGAAATTTAGCATAGCGTACTGACTTAAGTCTAGAATGATGTGTGTTAAATTTCCTGAAAATCGGTTCAGATTTAGATATAGCTCCCATATATATTTTCGTCCGATTTAAGGTAAATGGTGTACCAAAGTCCCTATATATCTTTCGATTTGTATGAAATTTGGTACAACGTAATGAATTAAGTGTAGAATGATGTGTGTTAAGTTTCGTGAAAATCGGTTCAGATTTAGATATAGCTTCTATATCGGACCAAATGAAAAATTTAGTAACGGTTGCAGAATGACATGTTTATGGATCCAATTTCATTTTACTGGTCCTTTAAAAATGCGACGTCGGTTAGGATTCATATGTTGAATATACCCAAAGTGGTGAAGGGTATCATATAGTCGGCCCCGTCCGACTTTACTACGTTCCTTACTTATATAGAGCCTCGGAAAAAATTACTTAAAAAATCCACGCCTTTTGTAGGCCCTGAAAATATTTATTTTAAAAAATCCGCGCCTTATATAGACCCTTAAAAATATTTTTTAAAAAAAAAAATTTTATATTTATTTCTAAATATTTCCCCCGAACTTTCTTTCTATAAAAATTACCGTTATAAATTATTAATATTTTGTATTATATTTTTTCCTATCTTTGCAGATTTTTTATGTGATTTATGATTTTTTCAAAAAAAAAAAAAAAAAACACAACCAAGCAAAAGGTGTTAACTTCGAGTAAAAACCAAGAAGCATCGTTAATTAAATTAGAGCGTGAACAAAATTACAGCCGGTGTTCATGACAAGAAGAACAGATCGGCAGCAACCAGTAGCCATTAACGCTAACAAATTGCAAAGAAAGCTGCTGGTCAGAAGACAGACAGCGATTAGCTGATAGAAAAAACAGCACATAAATCTTAGAAAAAGAGAAGAAAGAAACGAAGAATTAAAAAGAGAACAAAGACAAATTAAGAAGCAGGAAGTCTGAACGAAATACATCCCTCACTTTTAGAATAGTATTACATGTAAATTACAACAACACAATGGAAATCATGACATCGAGAACAGCATCAGCATCACCAAATGTCCAAAAGGAGTTGCGTTTATTTGCACCTCCCATCACCACAGCTGCCAGCAGCAGTCACAGTGAACACATTGGTGGGGGACGTTCACCCTTTCAACGTGAGGTCCGCGAATGGCAACGCATTGATCCGGATACAGGTGCATTGTTAACGGGTCGGCTGGAGGCAGATCGTTGGGTTAGCGGACCATTGAACAGTTATGGCAAGGTAAGTGGGGGAAAATGTGAATTTTTATTTAAGGGGAAGTGGGGAGAAAGTAAAAAAAATAAAAAAACCACGACTAAGGATAGACCTCAAAAATATTTTTTTTTAAAAAATCGACGCCTAAGGATAGACCTCAAAAATATTTTTTTAAAAAATCCACGCCTGAGGATAGACCTCAAAAATATTTTTTTAAAAAATCCACGCCTAAGGATAGACCTGAAAAATATTTTTTTTTAATCCACGCCTAAGCATAGACCTCAAAAATATTTTTTAAAAAATTCACGCTTGAAAAAATTTGTTTTTAAAAAAATTACGCTTGAAAAATATTTTTTTTAAAAAATCCACGCCTTGTAAAGGACCCTCAAAAATATTTTTTTTTTAAAAATCCACGCCTAAGGATAGACCTCAAAATATTTTGTTTAAATCCACGCCTAAGGATAGACCTCAAAAATATTTTTTTAAAAAATCCACGCCTTGTAAAGGACCCTCAAAAATATTTTTTTAAAAAATCCACGCCTTGTAAAGGACCCTCAAAAATATTTTTTTTAAAAAATCCACGCCTTGTAAAGGACACTCAAAAATATTTTTTTAAAAAATCCACGCCTTGTAAAGGACCCATAGAAAATATTTTTTTAAAAAATCCACGCCTTGTAAAGGACCCATAGAAAATATATTTTTTTAAAATCCACGCCTTATAAAGGACCCATAGAAAATATTTTTTTTAAAAAAAAATCCACGCCTTGTAAAGGACTCATAGAAAATATTTTTTTTAAAAATCCACGCCTTGTAAAGGACCCATAGAAAATATTTTTAAAAAATCCACGCCTTGTAAAGGACCCTCAAAAATATTTTTAAAAAAATCCACGCCTTGTAAAGGACCCTCAAAAATATTTTTAAAAAAATCCACGCCTTGTAAAGGACCCTCAAAAATATTTTTAAAAAAATCCACGCCTTGTAAAGGACCCTCAAAAATATTTTTAAAAAAAATAAAGGACCCTCAAAAATATTTTTAAAAAAATCCACGCCTTGTAAAGGACCCTCAAAAATATTTTTAAAAAAATCCACGCCTTGTAAAGGACCCTCAAAAATATTTTTAAAAAAATCCACGCCTTGTAAAGGACCCTCAAAAATATTTTTAAAAAAATCCACGACTTGTAAAGGACCCTCAAAAATATTTTTAAAAAAAACCACGCCTTGTAAAGGACCCTCAAAAATATTTTTAAAAAAATCCACGCCTTGTAAAGGACCCTCAAAAATATTTTTAAAAAAATCCACGCCTTGTAAAGGACCCTCAAAAATATTTTTAAAAAAATCCACGCCTTGTAAAGGACCCTTAAAAATATTTTTAAAATCCCCGCCTTGTAAAGGACCCTCAAAAATATTTTTTTTTAAAATCCCCGCCTTGTAAAGGACCCTCAAAAATATTTTTTTTTAAAATCCCCGCCTTGTAAAGGACCCTCAAAAATATGTTTTAAAAAAATCCACGCCTTGTAAAGGACCTTCAAAAATATTTTTAAAAAAATCCACGCCTTGTAAAGGACCCTCAAAAATATTTTTTAAAAAATCCTTGCCTTGTAAAGGACCCTCAAAAATATTTTTTAAAAAATCCACGCCTTGCCAAAGACCCTCAAATGCCCTCAAAAATATTTTTTAATAAAATCCACGCCTTGTAAAGGACCCTCGAATGCCTTCAAAAATATTTTTTTAAAAAATCCACGCCTTGTAAAGATCCCTCAAATGCCTTCAAAAATATTTTTTTAAAAAAATCCTTGCCTTTAATAGGCCTTCCAAAGGGGGTTTTAAAAAAATCCACGCCTTGGGTTTCCATACAAAAGACTTAAGACACAAACATAATTCTTGTCACCATAATTTAAAGCACGGGTGGTCGTCTTTTTTATGATTTTATTTTTTAATTTTTTTATTTTATTCTTAATATAATTTCAAGCATGTCACGTCACACACACACACACCTAGACAGATAATCTGTCAATAAAATTCAATACAATTCAATTATTCTTACCTCTCTTTGATGTCGAAGTTTTTTATGTTGCCGTTTCTAAATCCCTTTTGATGTGAGCCAGAATTTTATTTTTCATTAGAAATTATTTATTATTTAACAAGCTTGATTTAATCTCCGCATGACATCAGCTTCATCATGAGCTCTATGGAGTGTCACATATAAAATTCTAAGTTCGCTATGAGACCCAAAATGCCAAGTTTTCAGATTGAATGGCAAACAGAAAAAAATATCAAATAGCAAATCAATCTCCTCCCAACAATAACAACAAAATTAATGTCGGTTTATTTTTGTTGTTGTTATTTTAATTTTCCCTGGGATGTGTATGAAGCATTGAAGCATAGCTATCGTCCTGAGACAATCTGGATAATTAATTTCTATTCAACAATTTGGCTTTCATGGATGAGAATTTCTCAAGGGAAATTATTGGGCGATTTATGGATATTGGGGTGGGTGGGATTTTTTTTTTGAAAATTTTCAAGTGAAATTTTTTATCTAACGAATTCTGAAATTCGGAAAATTATTGTCACAATTTAATTTTGTTATATTTTCAGGTTATAAATACCCTGCGAACAAAAGATTTAGGAAACAAACTTTTTTCTTCCACAAAAAAATTTGTTTCTCATTTTTTTCTTCCCAATAACTCCTCCTTGATAGTCTCCTCTCCTATGTTCTCCATCATACTATTTTTGTTTCATATATGTGTGTGTGTGTAGGTATGTGTAACAACAATTTGAACCTAACCGAAACCTAACACCTTTTGGCTCAATAAACCTCAGAATACAATGTATTAGCATCTGATATGAGTTATGCATGGCTAACACATACACACACTCACATAGCTTACCATGCAGAGTGACAACAACAACAAAAATTATCAATTGGCATTCGGAGACTTTCATTTCATTGTTAGGCGACAATCGAAGTAATCTTAGGCCATGAGGTTAACGGAGCACGATTTTGGTTTTCAAACCAGACAGAGGCGGGAATAGAAAAAAATATTTTGGGGATCCAAAAAAGGCGTAGATTTTTCAAAAATTATTTTTAAGGGTCTATCACGGATTACGGACTGTGGGCCTATCACAAGGCACGGATAACGGACTGAGGGCCTATCACAAGGCGTGGATATTTTAAAATTTATTTTTGATGGTCTGTTACCAGGCTTGGATTTTTTTACCCTTCACCACACAGGGTATTATGTCTTTGTGCATATGTTTGTAACAGGCAAAAGGAAACGAGATAGACACATGGTTCCTTTTGAGAATAAGTCGATTTATGAATGTCCGTCCTTCCGTCTGTCCATGTTAAATTGTAAACAAAGTACAGGTCGCATTTATGATTCGATTTGGATGAAATTTGGTATAGGTCACTTATTTGGCCCAAGGACGAACCCTTTTGAAATTGGAGAAAATCGGTTCAGATTTAGATATAGCTCCCATATATATTTTCGTCCGATTTAAAGTAAATGGTGTACCAAAGTCCCTATATACACTTCGATTTGCACGAAATTTTGCAAAGCGTACTGAATTAGGTTTAAAATTATGTGTACTAAGTTTCGTGGAAATTGGCTCAGATTTAGATATAGCTCCCATATATATTTTTATCCGATTTTATGTAAATGGTGCACCAAAGTCCCTATATATCCTTCGATCTACCCGAAATTTTTCACAGCGTACTGAATTAAGCCTAGAATTATGTGTGCCAAGTTTCGAGAAAATGGGTCCAAATTTAGATATAGCTCCAATATATAGTTTTGTCCGATTTCATGTAAATGATGCACCAAAGTCCCTATATATTATTCGATTTGCACGAAATTTGGCACAGCGTACTGAATTAGGTCCAGAATGATGTGTGTTAAATTTCGTAAAAATCGGTTTAAATTTAGATATATCTCCCATAAATATTTTCGTCCGATTTCATGTAAATGGTGCACCAAATCCGTATATTTATTTAAGTAGTAAAGTCGGTAGAGTCCGACTCTACTACTTGCCTTACTGGTTTAAAAAACAATTTTGAGGGTCTATCACAAGGGGTGGATTTTTTAAAAAATATTTTTGTGACCCATCACAAGGAGTCGGTTTAAAAAAAAATCCATAGAACCTTGAAAAACTATTTTAAAAAAAATTCATAGAGATTTAAAAAATATGTTTAAACCAGTGAGCAGAGCTGTATAGTCGGACGGGGCCGACCATACGATACCCTAAACAACTACCACGGAACTCTAACTTTCTGCGGATTTTTTTTCCGAGTCTGGGCAATATTTTGTGATAGTTGCACCCTCTTGGCCGATTAGAGGGCACAGGGCACCACTTCCTTACACTAACATATTTTCCGAATATAACTAATATTCAGTACAGTCCTTCTACTTACTTGTCCATATTCCCATCACCGTGGGTTATGTTGTAATGTTCGGCTTATAATTATGGCCTATAGATCGACTCAAAAAAAAAAAAAAAACACACACACACACACACACACATAAAAACTATGTATTCGGTCCACTTTATCCTAAAATTAGTATCTGATCATCATCGACAATTATTGACGTGTTCCTTGGCCATAGCTGGAACCTCATGGAACATTTCAAAACGATCACCACTTTAATTCCGCCCTGCAGTGTAGTAATGGTTTACTAAATAATATATGAATACATAAGCTCCTGAAAATATTTACGTGTAACTCCGGGTAAATACGACAATATAATTTTTAATTTAAAGGCCAACCACTCCTCTTGGATATACTATCAACTTGTCGGGTCTATATCCTTGAGGTTTATATAAATACGCCAAAGAATACAAATTTCGTAACTTTTCACACAAAAGTCAGGGTCCATTCTGACCGATCTTTATCAAAACAGGTATGCTTATTCTTTGGCCCGATATCATTCTCTATGCAAAATTTCACGACGTTCGGTCCATAACTGCGGCCTCTGGAACGACCGGAAAATCAGATTAAAATAAAGTTTTTGGTCCTTTTCATCCCCTAA